CGACAATAAGGACGGAAAGTCATCGAAGATTGACACCAATAGTATAATGCAATTGCAGAAGGAGTTGGAGCTCGAGATCTCTGGTCTGAACAAGACGTCCAAAGTGTGCGCCAACGACGACAACAACACTCATTGTCTCAACAATAAGACTGTCAATAAAGTGGTGGAGAAGAGTGTCATTACAGCCAACGACAACACGAATGCCAATCAGAGTCAAAGTGAACCTAAAACTAATAATACGACAACTGATGTGTCCGTAAATGAAGCTAAAGTCGAGCCGAAGAGTGTCTCAAATGAGAATAAAGTGAATACAAAGCCAGAGGACACGTCTTCAAGCGTAACCAAAAGCGATGTCAACGCAAACAAAGGCAATGCCAGCGCTTCCAGTCGTAAACAGCCAAAGAGTGGCCCAAAAGCTCGTCTAACAGCCGAACAGTTAACTAAAAAGTTATCAAATATCAGTTCAGACGCCGAAAAGATCTCATTTTTGACACAAACTCTGATTGAAGTATCGGAAGAGAACCGATCGCTGAGTCAACAGATGAAACAAAACGAAAAAACTGTACATCAGTTGAGCAAAGAGAGGGATCAGAATCGGTCGGAACAGAACCGCTCAGTTCTGGCCAAAGCCCGACTCGAGAGTCTGTGTCGAGAACTTCAGCGACAAAATAAGATCATTAAAGAGGAGAGTCTTCTGAAGATCAAAGAGGAGGAGGAGAAGAGGCGCGACATCGCCAACAAATTCCAGTCGACACTCAATGAGATAATGTCTTTGATTGGAGACAACCAGAAGCGCAACACTCAGCTGAAGGAGGAGAACGCGGACTTAGCGCACAAACTGAAGACATTGATGGGTCACTACGAGACCTGGGAATCACACACACAGAAGATCATCAAACAGAAGGATCTCGAGACACAACTCATGAAAGCAAAGTTCGCCAAAACGGATATGATTTTGGCTCAAGAGAAGCAGATATTCATCAAAGAGAAGCAACACTTGATTCAAATGATCACTGATTTGCAGAAGAGGTGCAACGATATGTCTCAGAGCGAAATCAAACTCCGCACAGAACTGGGCGTATATACCGGCAAATACGAAGAGTTTCAGTCCGTTTTGACCAAAAGTAACGATATGTTCGCCGGCTTTAAGAAAGACATGGAAAGGATGTCCAAACAGATCAAG